TCTTAGTCAAGATGACTAATCTAAAGATGGGTCTACTCTGCCATATAATCAAGTATCTGATTCCAGATTATCTGCTTTGAACTGGTTTACATGGCATGGTGTAGACTCATATAATCCAGTTCGAAGCAGATAATCTGGAATCAAATACTGGATTATATGACAATTTAGGTCCGGATTAAAGCTGCCATATAAGGATGTATTTTGAGAAGACATGATGTACTAGAAAATACTATGCTTGGTGAAAAAAGTCAGTAGGAAAAGGGGGAGACCTCATACCAGGTGGATAGACTCAATCAGGGAAGGCACAGCCTCCAGTCTGTAAACCCCGAGTAGGGCTATTGATTGCAGGGTAACTTGGAGGCCTCTCATTCATAAAGTCAGAATAACTTGATGTCAGGTTGACAGCAGTTAACAACAGGCAGCAGGGAAACAAAAGGAAAGTACATAATGGTAGAGCTGCTGAGAAAACAAAATGAAGTTGGTTAAAAATAATTTAAATGGCTTAAACATACAAGTCATTCAACTCAACAACACTAGGGGAGGTCAACTTCTATCCTCTCTAGACAATCTGTAATAATTAAGTGATCTATAATTGTCGGAACATAGACACTTTAAAGGGCCAGACTCAGAGTTAGTTCCAAAACAGAGTTTATTAAACAATGGAAAAAGACTCAAATACACTTAACTCAATGCCTCTGGTCAAAACTCAAAGGTAAAACTAGTCCTGCTTCAAAAAGGTTAACCAAAGTATAATCCAGATCATCCAGAGAAAAGAACTAGGTTAAACAAAGTACTTCCAAAAGTCACACAAAACGGCACAGCATGCAGATGGTTAACAAAACAGAGAAGTCCAGGGTCGTAGCAAGCAGAATCCGAAGTAGCAAAGTTCCAAAGTCCACAGAAGCAGCATCGTAGTCAAGCCAGTCCAAGGTCAAGGAAGGGGGAAATCCACACTCACGAGAATCCAAGCTGAGTCGAGCGAAGTCCAGGGTTGTAACAAGCAGAATCCGAAGTAGCGAAGTTCCAAAGTCCACAGAAGCAGCATCATAGTCAAGCCGGTCCAAGGTCAAGGAAGGGGGAAATCCACACTCACGAGAATCCAAGCTGAGTCGAAAGCACACACGAACAGGAGCAGCAACCTGCAGATCCCAAACCCAAAGCCGAACATGGAACAGACAGCGACATGTCCAGACAGTACTCAATGCACGAACGTAAACCAACACGTTGCCTTCTGCAAAATTCACCATTTCTGAACCTACTTTTATCTTACACATCATCATCAGAAGATGAGCTGACCTCCAACCCATCATTATCCCTTGCAGCTGTTCTTGACTCCACACGTGAACTCCTACTCCCATCTCTCCACCTTCTCCATCTTCTGTCAAGACTTAGATCCCCCCTAGACTCAGATGTATTCCCCGATTGCCAGTCCTCATTACCAGAGAACCCTACAAATGTATCACTAGACATTGGCTCCGCACAAACAGCTTGTACCTCTTTTACCTTAGTCCAGTCCAATGTGTCATCCCCGTTTTCATCACTCCTTGACCCATCACCCCCAGAGAAACCCACAAATGATTCCTCATCTGTAGAAGCAGTAAGTATATCCTGGATCCACTTCCTCTGTTGCTCCTCATCAGGCTCCTGCTCCCGAGTAACACCTTTCCTTCCCTTAGACCAATCCATGATGTTTCCCTCCTCCTCTTCACTTGTTGATCCATCATCCCCAGAGAAACCCTCAAATGAGTCCTCGACTGTAGGAGCTGTGAGTATATCCTGGATCCTCTTCCTCTGCTGTTCCTTATCAAACTCTTGCTCTCAAATAACCCTTTTCCCCCTTCTAGCGCCCAAACCACTGTTTGCCATGTTACTCGCAGGCTCTACTACAACAGTAATGATGTAAATATAACCTAGCCACACCTTGAACTGAAAATAGACCATAGGTCAAGTGACTTCTCCCATCAAACCGACATCAACCCTACAAGGCCTCTTAAGATCAGCGTGCAACTGACAGCAATTAAGGGTGTGTTTTTTAAAACTTAAACAATATAGTGCATTCATTTTATGCTTTGTTCTTAGACTTCTTGCATAACATTTTTTTGCTGACATCTATCATCCCTCTAAATTCTTTTAAACTAAGGCAATTCTTTTCCTACATTTTTCTCTGTGACAGCTTTCATTTCAGGAATGATTAAGTATAATAATGATTATGAAAATCATTAATTTGCATTGGTAAAATCTAGGATGGTCCTTATATAAGAAATGTTATACTTGTGCCAAATGAGGCATCAAATACATTTAAATATTAATACATTTCTTACTGTGATAACCTGAAATGAAGCATGCAGTTATTAAAAACCTTTGTGTTACACCTTGAATCAAAAGTGTACTGTAATAATTAATGACTGGGCAAGCAGCTGTAGTAATACTATCTTCTCCAGATGGATTATGTTAATGCAATATGATCTGCCCTGTTGAAATATAGCATCAATTATTGAAATTAAAAAATATATCTTAAGAGATTATTTATTTCCTCTGGTCCAATTTCTCTATGATCAAGAAGGTTTGTTATATATGTCAATAAATATTAAATATTCAGCCCCAACTGTCCAAGTCTGAAAGTATTGTATATATTTTAATCACATTTTTTCTTCTCTGTTGATGCTGATGAAATTGTAACAGTGATAAACCTGGCAAATATTAATACTACAGTTTTAAGAGATACAGCCCCCTTCTACACTGCCATGTTGTTGTTGTTTATTTGTTCAGTCGTTTCTGACTCTTCGTGACCTCATGGACCAGTCCACACCAGAGCTCCCTGTCAGCCATCACCAGGCTCCATTGATAAACTTTGGTGGACACTCAAGAGTGCACATCCAGTCAATCCTTCTTGTCCCATTGTGCTTCTCATGTATGTTTTCAAATATTTAAGAGTTGAAAACTACCTTTCATTTGTAGCTGTTGACACTGGCAATGTTGCAGAAATCTGAAGAAGTTTCTTCACATTCAGAAAAAAACTATCCATCACAGACAAGATATGCTTCCAGTGCATTTGATGGTTTTTCTGCAGGCGCAATCTTTTTCCTGTTTCTACGTCACAGATCAGATTCTTCCATCAGTGTTTCAGTATCTTGATGGAATTACTTGTAAAGTTCTGTGCACTTGTTCAAGTTGGATTTTAAATGGCCACAATCAATAGGGAGAAACTCTTGCAGTTCCTGAACCACTAAAAATAATAAAATAATGAAATAAAAAATAAATGAAACTACATAATAAAATCTATAACTGTGTTCAAATATCACAAAAAATGTTGATTAGAATAAAAGATACTGCATTTTGAAATATCTAAAAATCAAGATCAATGACCCATACATATTATCCATTTTTTAGAAACTACATTAAATATCTATAATCTGGTACCTGATTATTCAAAAATTACTTGATAGTTTAAGAGAAAATAAAGTATAAACTTTTAAAGCAAGCACAAGTTATCATGATTGTTATATACCTGTAAACATTGTATTTAAACTTAAGTTTTTTTAAATTGAGTTTTTGGGGATTACAATCCCCCAAATGGATGAAGCTTGCCATAAAACAAAAGCACAGCCCTGAAAGACACTGCCAGGATATTCACCATAATGAATATAAGTAAGATAATGAAGATTTATATTTAATCTGAGTGTGTGTATCTTACTCTATGATTGAGAGCGTGTGACTGCTTAACTTCTGTGCCTTTCAGGGAATTACCATATTTTCCGGCATATAAAACGATCTTTGAACCCAAGAAAATCGTCTCCAAAATGAGGAGTCATCTTATATGCCGGGTATTACAGGATTCCTTTGGTCTCTGCTTCGGGTGCCCTACTCCTGTGGGTAGGCAGCTGCCCGCCTCCTTTGCCATCCCTGAGTGGCGCAGCCTGAGGGGGAGGAGGGAGGGAGGGGGAGGGAGGGGTTGGGAGGAGGAGCATGAGCCCGTGTTACCATGGAGACTATCTGGGGGTGGTGGCCTGCTGGGCTGTCCCCGCTGCTGCCGGCCTGGTGCTGGCTCCACTATTGCCAACCTGGTGCTAGCTCCACCACCGCTGGCCTGGTGCTGCCTCCACCTCAAGGCCTCTCTGAGACAGGGGAAGACCACATGGCCCCCTCCAGAATGGTCCCAGCCTGAGGCAACAACAGCCCAAAGGCATGAAGCTCAACCTGAGGTCTGAACAAAATGGAGACCTTCAAATGAAGGCTTCCTAATATACTGGCAAATGCTATAAAGCTGAGCACGAAGCCTAGAACAAGATAGATGCCTCCCCAAAAAATGGCAAGATTTAAAGCCTAACTTGAGACCTGAAACAAAAGAGAGCCTCTCCCTAATATAATTGCAAGAGCTTAAAGCTTAACGTTAGGTCAAAGCTTAACTTCTAATACAAGACATGTAATAAAATGTAGGCCTCCGGATGTGATGACACAATTAATGAGTGGAATTTCCTGTGCCTTCCTGGAGCTGAGAGTGTGTGACTCCCTCCAGACAACAATTCATTAAGCATTACTTTAAAGGAAGGAGTTGTCTTCCTATGTGGCCCAGCAATCATGACTTGAGGTCGAGAGAGTGTGATTCACCCAGACATTAATGTAATAAGAGTCTATTCTAAGGGGGTGGGATGGGGGGCAAATCTCTACTCCAAGGATGTACCTTTCTTGAAGCGCCAAAAGTATGATAGCTGGGACCCTATGCTAGTAGCCGGGAGCCTACACTGGTTGCGCAATGCGGGGCAGAATTAATGAAGGGAAGATGTGCGCAACACGGTGAGAAAGGGGGGGGACAGAAAGGGGGGACACAACAAACAGCCAAGCATACTGCAAGTGAGGTAACGCTAGAGTTATTTACTGTTAAATGATAAACAATGGCTTACAAAAATGATAAAAAGGGTAGAAATGTTTCCTCTCCCCCTTTCTGATGAACAATGTTCCTAGGACTCTGACACAGCTGCGTTTCTCATTTGCTCCACTGTCTCGTGCACCTCTTCCCTTCCTTAATTCAGAGCCACATTACACAATTAGCGTAGCGTTGGGTCCCAGCTATCATACTTTTGCCCTTGAAGCAACCCAAGAGGGGAACTCTGGTTAGTGCAACCACCCAGATCTCCAGCCCAGCCCTTATGCCCTGCTGGGAAATTCCTACCAATAAATGACAAGGGGAGAAAGCAAATTTGTTCCATTTTCCATGTGACAGTCCTTCAGATGTTTGAAGATGGTTGTCATATTACCTCTATTTTTTCCCCATACTCAATATAAGTATTCCTATAACAGATAATACATTGTATAGGAACCTGTTAGCCATATTGAAAGAAGGAGAATCAAGAAGGTCTATCTATGGCTTACTGTTTAGTGAGAAAATTCCACCTGGCCACTTTTGCTAGTTAGCTTATCATGGAGTACTGCTTATCTCCAAGTTAAGTGTGTGGGAGAGAGAGTGAATATATATGTGGTTGCTCAAGGACTTACAGCTCTCTACAGCTACACTCAACATGAGAGACTGACTGGAGAGTTGTACGTAGTTAAAATGGAAATTTGCTAAGGTGTGTAGGTTGTTTAGTGGTCCCAAGCTATGATTGTGTAATGGCAATGAAAGTGGGGTTTATCTTCCCTTGGCTATTGATGTGGCCAGGTTGCTGACATTGTTGGGTATTTTATGGTGACCCTATCATGTGGCTTTCTGGGCAAGATTTATTCAAAGGGGGTTGCCTTGACTTTCCTCTTAGGCTGAAAGAATATGACTTCCTCAAGATTACCCAGTGAGTCACGGCCCTTTCCTGCTTGCTCCCTGGGCTTCTCATTGCTGACCCTGTCCAACCACAATGCAAATAAGTGCCACCTCCTATAATTGGCCAGTATCTCTTTAGGTAGAACTGCCGTGAGCATGATGGTCGCAAACAGGAGCAAAATGGTAATTTAAATTCTGTCCAAGAATCTACAAATCTATGAGATGTTATAAGATAATGTAGCATGTTCCATGTATTTATTTATTTATTTACTATATTTGTATACCGCCCTTCTCAGCCCGAAGGCGACTCAAGGTGATGTTCACTTGGTGGAGCCCTGTCAGAGTTACACGAGAGCACTTGTCCAAAGTTCATCAACCTTTCAGAGCTGCCCAAAGAATCATGATGATTCTTCTGGGTGGCTGTATACTCCCTATCACTATGGAGGGATATCTTGGTGCTGCTTCTTCTCAGTCTCTACTAGCTCAAAATGTTCTTCTAGAGATAAAATGATCATGCAAAAAGGCTTTTAAGGTATTGAAACTAGGAGACAACTGGCTCGATTATGTTTAGTTTCCACTAGATGGGGGTGTAGAGTTAGGAATAGCTTTTTACTTACATGAATGCTACAGAAGTACATTATATTAAAAATTATGTGGGAAATTGTTCTACATTGTTCATTATTTCCTAGGTTACACTCTTTAAAAACCTCAAGGGTTGCCACAAAGAGGAGGAATAGGCTTACTCTTTGCTGCTCAGAGATCTAATGGATTTATGTTCAAGTAGATTTTGATTGAAAATCGAAAGGAACGTCTTGATAGTGGGAATAGTTAGATAATGGAATCAGTTGTCTTGGGAGGTAGTGAGTTTTTCCTTCTCTAGATATCTCAAAAAGAGGCTGGACATCTATCTGCTGGGGAAGCTTTAGCTGGGGATCCTACATTGAGTGAGGCTGACATCAATACCAGGAAAGATTCTGGAGCAGATCATTAAGGAGGCAGTCTACAATCACTTAGAAAGGAATGCTGTCATTACTAAAAGTCTACATGGATTTCTCAAAAACAAGTCATACCAGACTAATCGTATCTCTTTTTTGATAAAGTTACAAGCTTGGTAGATGCAGGGAATGCTGTAGATGTAGCATATTTTGATTTCAGTAAGGCCTTCAACATGGTCTCCCATGACCTTCTTGCAAACAAACTAGTCAAATGTGGACTAGGCAATGTTACTGTTAGGTGGATTCGTAATTTATTAAGTGACCAAACCCAAAGGGTACTCACCAATGGTTCCTCTTCATCCTGGATTGACGTGACTAGCGGAGTGCCGCAGGGTTCGGTCCTGGGCCCAGAACTGTTCAACATCTTTATTAATTACTTAGATGAAGGTTTAGAGGGCATGCTTGTCAAGTCTGCAGATGACACTAAATTAGGAGTAATAGCTAATACTACCAAAGATCGGAATTCTAAATTACTGTGTCCAATTATGGGAAACACAGTTCAAAAGAGATATTGACAAGGTGTCCAGAGAAGAGGGACTAAATGATCAAAGGTCTGGAGACTATGTCCTATGAGGGGTGTCTTATTAAAGAACTGGTTATGTTTAGCCTGCACAAGAAAAGGCTGAGAGGAGACATGATAGCCATGTATAAATATGTGAAAGGGTGCCACAAGGAAGAGGGGGCAGGCTTGTTTTCAGCTGGCCTGGGAACTAGGACACGGAAGAATAGGTTAAAATTACAGGAAAGGAGCTTCTACTTGAGCATTAAAAACTTCCTGACAGTAATAGCAGTGGAACTCTCTGCCTTGGAGTGTGGTGGAAGCTCCTTCCTTGGAAGCTTTTAAGCAGAGGTTGGATGGCCATCTGTCAGGGTACTTTGTGTTTTTCCTGCATGACAGCAGGTTGGATTGCATGCCTCACGTGGTCTCTTCCAACTCTATTATTCTATGGATCTATGATTTGATGGCCCATGGGGCCCCTTCCAAATCTAATCCTGTGATCATTCAGAAATGTCCAAGACCATAGGAAGAAACAAGAGAAACCAGAGACAAACAAATGGAAGCTCCTTGTCATTTTGAGCTGAAGGTATACATTGTTCTCCTGCCAAGGAGTATCGTGGATAAGAAGTCAGGGAGGAACTGAGGCATCCGCTCTCAATACGCTGCCACTTCAAAACGATGAATGTACTGTGCTCTCACAAGCTACTTAGTGTTCTTCAACCAGAAAACAAGAGTGATGTGTAGAGTCACTGTAAAATAGCTGCCTTCAGGGTATGTGGGTGACATTTTACTGAGCTTTTCTAAAGATGATACACTAGGGACAAGGCAATCACCGAAGAACAGGGATGTATTTACACTAAACAGTTTGAGTGTTATTATTCCGCGTAACTGCCGTGCTCCCATCCTGTGGAATCCTAGAGTTTGTGATGTGTTACTATTTTATTTCTTCATTCAAAGAATTTATGTATTGCCTCTCACAAAGAATCCCAAGGTG